TATTGTGTTAGAGTAGAGTAGACTGCATTGAAAAGTAGGATGAATTGTGTTATCGTATTGAGCAAAGTAGACTGTATTAAAAGAGTGAGTTAGATTGTGTTAGAAAGGAATTGAAGAAAGAGAAAAAAAACTAGTGCATTTACCATTCAGACGAGTCAGGAAAGCAGGCCAAGTTTACATTCCCCAATAGAAGTTACAAATGCGAAAAAAAAAAAGGAATTAAAAGATCCTAAGTTTCTAAAGAGGGAACATGTGAGGGATCCTGCAATGAAGTTACGATAGCCTCAACAGTAGGGGACAGAGGCAGAGCTTGGTAGCTCATCAGGCAACCCTTCTGGCAAGGCAATAGTTGAAATCTCAGAAGAGCCAAGAACAGGTGAGGAGGTTGGGGCCTCAATCTCAGGTAAAACTCTCGTTACCAGATCACTAAAAAAGGACGTATTAGCAGGAACAGCTGGAGGAGTGGACATTTCAGTACCTTATAGAGCCCTATTAGAGGTAGCGGGAGCCAAGGTGCTGTCATCACCCTCTGAATCAGACTCCTCCAACTCCTCCTCAGTGGGGATGACAAAGTCAAAGTCGAGGTCTGGGTAGGCCTTCTCCGCTTTACGCTGAAATGTCAACTATCTTGAGGCCCACTTGATGGTCACATCATCCTTCAGCTCGACTATTATGTCATCCCTTTCCTTGACAGTTGTCTTCTGCACCTCGAGCTCACCACATAGGCCCTCATTCGCCTTAGCCAGTATAACATAGTCCTTCCTAAGGCTCTCGAGGGAGCCCCAAGCATCAAAGGCTTCTTAGCTAACTTTATTCCAGGCATTGATTTTGAGCAACAACTCTTTCCTGGTCATCCTCAGCTCATCCCTGACCTTTTTCTCTCTTTCCTCAGCCCTATCCTTAGAAGCTTGAAGGTCTTCGTATTCAGAGGCCTGCTTCGACATTTGCTCCTCGAGCTGTTGCACTTAAGCTCTAACGCTCTCATTTTCAAAGGTCAGCTCAGCGACCTTAAACTCGTATGTCTTCAAAGCTTTGGAAAAGTCCTCCAAAGATCGGACCCTGTCCATCAAGTTCTTCAAGTAAAGAGCCATCTGTAAAAAAAGAAAGGAAACAGACATAGATTAGCACAATTCAACCATGTAGAGCTAAGAGCGAGTGTGAAAATACTTACAGTGGCTGCTCCCTGGAGAGCTGAGCAGAAAGAGGCCTCAAGAGACATGGTAGAAGCTCTTTGAATATCGAATTCAGGGAGAATGGATGAAATGGCCATAGCAGCCAACTCAGCATTGTCGAAGAAGGAATCTTCATCAGTCTCCTAGCCCTCCCTCATTTCGATTTTGGGACTCTGGAGAGGCAGCTGGGATGGTTGTTCAGGCGGTCCGGGGGGTGCAAAGTCTGGCTTGATTCTAGTAATCAGCCCCAATGCTCCCTCAACCTCAGAAGAGGTGGGGAAAGTCAGCCTTGGCTCGAAAGTTTTTCGGGGGGTAAACTGGGCCCCTTGAAGAGGAGAAGGGGCCAGAGATTGAGATGAGAAAGTCTATCCTCCCTTGCTCAAGGCAGAAGAAAAGGGCACTCCCAGCTTCTGCACTTTAGCTCTGTCAACGGGGCTATCTCCATAGCTGGTATCAGCCTTCTGTTTGTCATTTTTCTTACTTTTTTTCAGTAGGTCAACTTTGGCCTGGAGTTCCTCAGGGGTAGATTTCATTATGGAGGAGCTTGGGAGATCTGAACCGAGCGAGTTAAATAGGAGAGAGAAAAAAGGAGGGAAGGCAAGGGAACCAACTCGGAAAGTGTTACCTTCTATGTCTTCAGGCCTAACAACTGAGATAGGGAACATAGCTTCTATCGATACCTCAGGAGAACTGAATTCCTGTGTTACTAAGACCCAGGGCTTGATGAGCTCGGAGTACTTCTCTGGATTGCACTTTTTCAACTTTCGCTTTACCCTCTCATCCTCAGCACTGAGCTCTGGTCGAATGCCTTAAAAGCAACACAAGGAGAGCAAAGGTCAAAAAGGTGACTCAACGATTCTCAAATTAGAGCTCAATCAGTTCGAGCAAGGGCTCACCTAAGTTATTAGGGGCATATCAAGATTTAGGGATACCCAGAGTATCAGTCCTATCAGTAGGATTGTACTCCCAGTTGGTGCCCCCAACAAAAAAGAATTGTTTCTTCCAACCCTTATGAGAGCTCGGGAGGTGAACAATGATCTGCCTAGCCGTGGTTTGCTTGGAGATATATAAGAAACCCTTTGATGAGGTGAGCTTGACATTAAAAAGATTCACAAGCAAGAAAAGGCTAGGGACCCCGAGTCCATGAATTTTGAATAAAACAAGAAGACCCACAAGTACACCCCAGAAATTAGGGGAGAGTTGAGCAGGGCAGACATTGAAGTGTTGCAAAACACTCTTGATGAAGGGATGCATAGGGAAGCGAAGGTCATTCTCAAAAGCGGCCGCAAAGAAACATACTCTGTTGTGAACTTGGGCAACGTATGAGGTGTATTTATCTGGACACTAGAGCTGGATACCAGGAGAAAAATCATAACGAGCACTGAGAATTCTCACATGAGAGGAGTCAACCTCACTAGGTCCTACAAGCTCAGCATGCCTAAAGACGGGCCCCTGTGCCCGCTGCGCTGTTAGAGACTCCTATCCCACTCACCTTGCCCTTACCTTTGTTAGGAATAGGGGGCATAGAAGCAGACGATGAGGATGGTTCCTCAGTATTTTTCTCAGCATCGACAGCATCCACACCAGAGAAATTATCGATTTTCTCGCCTACATCCCCTAAATTAGTGTCCTCTTCGGCAGACCTTTCCCCTAAGAGAGAAGCAGAGGAGCGTGTAACTTTGGAAGAAGTAGACATGACTGGACAGGAGAAAGGTAAACTAAAAGAACGGTAGAGAGGAGGAATATTGATCAAGCACTCCTTAATAACCCTAGGGTCAGCGCAATAGCTTCCAACGGCAAGAATTCGCACGATAGAAGACTAGTCCACGAGGTGGGGGAGAGGAGACAAGCAGTAATTTCAATTCCAAAAGTAAAAGAACCGAAAGGCCCAGAAATGCAATGTCCACCTCAAATTCGAGGGATCCAAAACGAGGAAGATGAAAAAGGGACAAAAAGGCGTACCTAGGTGGGAAAGAGCAACGAACAACAGCCTAGAGCGAAATGGAAGAAAGAGGACAATGCGAATCTTCAAATCGAACCCATAGAACTCGATCTTAAACTAGGAATCGGAGAATTTTAAACCAGAAAGCCAAGAAATTGCAAGAAGAAAGAAGCAGCAGAGAAGTTGAATAGTGGAATAGGGCGGTTCAGATAGCCGTTTGAGCATTTAAAGCTTGAAAGACCTGGGCTAAAACGTTTGCAGGAAACGAGGAAGCCATGATTGCTGAAAATCGTCAAAAAGCCCTAACTCACGTGCAGGCCAAGGTCAGCCACGTGCAGATCCTGCTCAGTTTAAAAAAAAAAAAACAGCTCAACCCCTGCTCGAGCCCACTTGAACCAGGGGCTGGGGGGCAATTGATGATACCTTAAACAAACCCTAGCTGTGAGCTCAGGTTAGGAGGTCAGTTCAGGAGGTCATGAAAGACACAAGGAACTCAGAGAACCAAGGGTGAAGCTCCCCTTGGGGAGATCGTAGTTGAACCAACCAGGAAACAACTAGATGACTGCGAAAATTGGGCCTCATGCATGAAACTCTCAACCAACCAAGATTCTATCCTAAAATCAAGGAGGATCCCATGAATAATGGGCAAAAATCTCGACTGAAATCCCACGGAATAGGGGGCAGCCTTATAAATACTATGTAACGCCTACATAGAGAAAGAAAAAGAAGAAAAAAGAACCCTAATTTCGAGAGATACTGTATTGTAATACATTTTGAGTATGGAATAGAGGAGAGGGAGCAAGAGTCTCCATTTAAGAGTGGACTAGCCGAGCTCTTGAGCCGATGAACCACTATATTTTCACTGTGTACACCTTTTTAATCCCCTCAATATTTCACTGTAGCATCACACACGAGCCTTGTAGCTCTGATCCACACTCATCACACATCACTCGCACCTTTTGCTCATCCACGTTGATTTACTCCATCAAAATCAATGTGTGATTGTATGATTGTGTTTGTACTACAATTCGGTGGACCTTGGACCTTTTAAATACAAAATCAACAATAACAAACTAATTACCAGACTTACTATCACGCCCTAGTGGTGGCTATGCTTCGATAGAGATGTGGTGGAGGGGTTTTCGCTCGAAGAGAGGGATGAAGAAGGGGTTTTGGATTGAAACACCTGTTTGAGACACAATTGAAATCGCGGGAGACTTTGGAGCTGCCTGAGGTAGTCGGAATTGCCTGTCGCCTGAGATAGTCTCGAACACTCGGAGAGGAGGAGGAGTTTGTTGCAGAGAGATATAGAAGTCGACAAAATGAATTGGGAAAAAATTTAGGTTTATGTTGCGGGAGAAAAAAAAAAACTTTTTATTATTTTAGTTAAGAATTTGTGGAGTTTGACTAAAACGCAGGAAATTAAGTAAAAACAAAGATTTTTATTTTTTTTATTAATAATTTGTGGTGTTTGACTTAAATGCTGAAAATTAAGGGAAAAAAAAGTTTGTTTATTATTTTTTATTAATAATTTTTTATGTGTATAAATAAACACCAATTTTAGTGGCGTTGAAATTAAACATCGAAAATTAATTGCCAAATTTTCTCATCTTTGTAGTGAGCGGCATCCACCTTCATATTTACTCTTAATTAAATTTTATTATCGATTAAAAACAACTAAAAATCCAACCCCAGCCACATCAGTAACCACCATGTAACAGAAAAATACTTTGAAAGATGGATACAACCAATGTTCAAACGCCAAAAGGGTCAAAAACCGCCCAATCTTCAAATGATTACTGTTCATTTCTGTCTTCTGAATCTACCATTCCTGCGATGACATCACCATTTAAAGCGACCAGTCCTATCTCCGACAATACACACAATAACACCCCCAACAAGACACCCCATCAAACTCTCTCTCACATGTCTACACACTGGAGATTCCTCATCATCCTACACCTCCTTCGCTTCTCTCTCTCCAGTTCTCACCCCATCAAATCAAACCCATATCTCCAATTTCCATGTAAACCACCACACTACAACTCCTACCCCTTTTGCAACACCTCTCTCCCAATCAAAACCAGAGCTCAATCCCTCATCTCTCTCCTTACCCTTGAAGAGAAGATCCAACAGCTCTCAAACAATGTCACCCAGATCCCACGGCTTGGTTTACCTGCCTATGAGTGGTGGTCTGAGTCACTCCATGGGATTGCCACCGATGGCCCTGGGATTACCTTCAATGGCACAATCCAATCCGCCACTAGCTTCCCACAAGTCATTCTCACTGCTGCTTCGTTTAATAGAACTCTGTGGAAATCAATTGCTTCAGCGACTGCGATTGAGGCTAGAGCAATGTATAATGTGGGTCAAGCTGGATTGACGTTTTGGGCACCTAATATTAACATTTTTAGGGACCCCAGATGGGGAAGAGGCCAAGAGACCCCAGGGGAGGACCCAATGGTTGTGTCGGCTTATGCAATCGAATATGTGACGGGTTTTCAAGGAGAGAATTGGAGAGCAGATGGTGGAGTTCAATATGGGTTTGGTGAGAAAAGAGCCTTGAGGGATGATGGTGGGAGTGATGAATTGATGTTGTCTGCCTGTTGTAAGCATTTCACTGCTTATGATCTGGAGAAATGGAGGGATTTTACTAGGTATAACTTCAATGCTGTGGTAAGAGTTTCATCTTCATCTTCCAATTTTATGATCCATTTGCTATGTTTAATTTTAGTAGTTGGGAACTTTCCTTCAGATTCAAATTTTCTAATTAAATGCTAAACAGTAACTGTATAAAGAAAAGCAGTGAATTAAGTACTGACAAGCTGCATAGCTTGCAGACTTGCAGTCATCGTTGCTGGAGCAACTAAACTGAAACAGATCAGTAAGGTAATCCAATACCATTAGGTACTTTTTCTCTAGTGGAAAAAGCAAAATTATAGATCCTAGTAAACCAGCAGTTTTTATTTTATTGGTCAGAGAAAACCAGCAGTTTGGTGGAGTAAATATTAAATGAAACGGAGCCAATACCACTTATTATTGATTTGTGGTATCACTACCTAATCATAACCTACCATATAAGCCTAATGAACTCTACTAATCCGATAGCTGACAATAACTACAAGATCTAACGAATACCAGATTGGATTAAGTACGGCTCACTAGATTTATTTGCTAAGTTGTGATTGGTGAGTGATATCACTTGTTGATAAAGTCATTGATGTATTTAATATTTTCTCAATTAGATGAGACTAGCATTTTTCCCCTGGTAGTGATGTCTCTAGCTAGTGAGAACATTTTAAGCAACAAGGGAACACCACCTAAAATTACTAAAAGGGGACACTAGTTACCAAATAAACTGTTTTACTGAATTAGGTAATTATCATGCTTCCTGTAAGTCGGGGTTATACCTTGTAAAGAGGGAATAAGTTGCACACTATTGATGTGCATACCATTACAGTACATAAATGATATATTATCTTCTGACAGGACTGGATTATTTGTGTCTATTACTGACCTGACTCAATTATTATTCGTGTTAATTGATTGTCATTTTCGGATACGGGTATGTTGTGTTCGTGTTAATGCATAAACTTGCCCTAATATGTCCTTCAGGTCACAAAGCAGGATTTAGAGGACACTTATCAGCCACCATTCAAAAGTTGTATTCAACAAGGTAAAGCAAGCTGCTTGATGTGTTCGTACAATTCAGTGAATGGGATACCTGCATGTGCACAGAAGGATCTTTTACACAAAGCACGAAAGGACTGGGGGTTTAAAGGGTGATGATATATTCCTACCAGTTTTTGATAAGAAATAACAAAAGCAGTTCTTAATACAAGATTGTTAATTAACACTCATAGGTGATCCCTTCAATGGCTTAACTACAGATATATCACCTCTGACTGTGATGCTGTGGCCACTATATTCGAATATCAAAATTACACAAAATCTGCTGAGGATGCTGTTGCCATTGCTCTTAAATCAGGTTCTTTTTCTTTCATCCAAACCTTTGATTCCTTTATTGATACCTGTAAATGACTTCCCAGTTCACTATAAAATCTGCCACAGGAACGGATATTAACTGTGGAACGTATATGTTGCGACACACCCAATCTGCAATTGAACAGGGGAAAGTGCAAGAAAATGACATCGACAGAGCTCTTCTCAATCTGTTTTCGGTTCTACTACGTCTTGGCTATTTTGATGGAGACCCTGCAAAAGGAAAGTTTGGCAAATTGGGACCTCAAGATGTATGTACATCAGAGCACAAGAAACTGGCACTTGAAGCAGCAAGGCAGGGCATTGTGCTTCTGAAGAATGACAAGAAATTCCTGCCTTTGAATAAAAATGGTGTATCTTCACTAGCTGTCATTGGTCCGATGGTAAATGATACAAGCCAACTAGGTGGTGATTATACAGGTTCGAAATTTTTCATCCATTAGTTCAGAGTTACTGAGTTTACTAGAATTGCCCACAAAATTTGCAATGTCTCCTCACCCAACCCTAATATTGTTGACATATGATTCCATTATAAATGATTTTTTCAAAGATGGGGGGAATAGTTAAATATAGACCACATGGGAGAAAATTTTAAATATGAAGTAATTTAAAGACTTGAGCTATCTTTAATGATGGACAAATTTTGAGTTTTAAATTCAGATTTGTTTTTATGCTCTTATGGCAGTATGAAATCTAAGTAAATTGCACACAAATTGTTAAATAGCATCACTGACACTATGCATGTATTGAACATTGAAGTATTGGTGTAATGCTCAATTTATGACCAAATTCATGGACATGCTTCATTTTTCAAAAGATTGATGTTTTCATTGAACTTGAATTGTCCTTCATTTGAAAACATAATATTTCCATGAACCAAATATACGGTTTCATACTTGATATTATGTTGAAGCAGTAGCAGGGTTTCTTTAATTGTATAGGAGTTCCTTGCAACCAAAAGAGCATTGTTCAGGAACTTCAGGAATACATGCAGAAAACATCATGTGCAATTGGTTGCCCGGACATAGCTTGCAATACCAGTAATGGTTTTATGGAAGCTCTTTCTATTGCGGAAGAAGCTGAAGTTGTAATTGTAGTGGCTGGCCTGGATTTATCCCAAGAACGTGAAGATCAGGACCGGTATAGTCTTCTCTTGCCAGGCTATCAAATGTCCCTCATTACAACTGTTGCTGCTGTAACTAAGAAACCATTGGTTTTAGTTCTTACTGGTGGTGGACCTATTGATGTATCATTTGCGGAAGTAGACCCGCAAATTGCAAGCATTCTTTGGATAGGTTACCCAGGAGAGACTGGAGGGAAAGCACTTTCAGAAGTCATTTTTGGAGATTATAATCCAGGTTGGTATAAAAGTTAGGAGGAACTTCAGACCCCACATCAAAATAAACTGTCTCAATTTCTGGGAAAAACTAAAACTTTTGGATCCACTCCTTCAGAAAGACAACAAAGTCACCACCACATATGACCAAGATGAAGTGAAACAATTCTGAAACACTGACATTACCCTATATAGACTTCATATAACAACCAGACAAAAAGAAAAAGAAAAATCTATGTAACACAAAATTTTATATTTTTATTTTGAGTGGCAAACACATGAGCATCAGAATTTAAAGGCAGATAGTTGATGTAGTTTTCATATATAATACAGGTGGAAGATTGCCAATGACCTGGTATCCCGAGTCATTCACTCATATCCCAATGACTGACATGAACATGCGAGCTGATCCTTCTCGTGGTTATCCTGGAAGAACCTATCGGTTCTACGCTGGAAAAAGGGTATATGGATTTGGTCATGGCCTGAGCTATACAAATTATACTTACAAGCTCCTCCAGGCACCTAATAAACTGAGTTTATTGGGATCTATCAAACCCAAATCTAAGAAGAACATACTACACCAAAAAGCAGATGGAGTTGACTATATCCATATGAATGAGGTAGAAAATTGTGATTTACTGAGATTCTATGTGCAGATATCTGTGATGAATAAGGGAGATATGGATGGAAGCCACATTGTCATGTTGTTTTCTAGAGTGCCACATTTTTTTAAAGGTGCTCCAGAAAAACAACTAATCGGCTTTGATCGTGTCCAAACTGTTTCTTACCAATCTACTGAAACAAGCATCTTAGTAGATCCTTGTGAACATCTCAGCATTGCAAACGAGCATGGCACAAGAATATTGCCTTTGGGTGATCATACCTTGATTTTAGCAGATTTAGAGCATACTGTTACGATTGAAACGTGATAAAGGCCGTTTGGAATTCATTCCAATACCCAAATTTCTAGATTGCAACACGGATGCGCAATCAACTTGCCTATCTTTTCGAGACAGTGTAATTTTCTTGTTACAATTATAGGTGGAACTTTTACCTTTCTTTGGTTGCTGAAGCTCAAATGTTTTCGAACACCATGTATTGCATTGCATGACAGGTTCCCGGCAATGTATGCATTTTTCTCAATACCTATCGTTCTATAAAATCATTAGGGATATTTGTTTCTGAGGTACTTTTTTCACTGTAGAAAACATTGGTAGATAGACAATTTGTAATCAGCATCTCAATATAAGGAGACAGGTTTTAGCAGGTAGTTTAGTACCATGTTATTCTTTATGGAAAATTGGGATCACTTTGCTATTTAGTTGGAACTTCCACCACATATTTATTTGCTGGTTCCATGTTGACTATCTGCACATGAGGTAAAGTTGCGTACCTTCAACCCTCCCTAGAACCTGGTAGTCAAGAAGTAGGTGGAGAGAAATTTAACTCATGATTTTCAATCACTCAAGGAATGGTTCCAGAATCCTGAGCTAAGCTAAGATTAGAAAAGTAGCAGTCCTTGCCGACCAACCACTTCAAATGATTGAAGTGGCCAGTGCACTGTGCTATCTTATTTTTATTTTGACTGCCCCATATTTAAATTTCGACAAGGATGCAGCAAATATTTATGCAAGAAAACCAGCATAAAGTGGATGAAAACTAGAACTGCTAGAACCCACACCCCACAAGGGAGGGATCGTTATTCTTGACATTCGCCTATTCGTCCTCGTCCTGAAATTTTTCAACCAGCCTTTCGTCACACAAATCTTGTGAGCAGCAAGTTTTTGTGTGTTGTTCTCCATACATGAATGAAATGCTAATATTTCAAACAAGTATTTGTAATAGGTTGTTTCATGTTATGTTTATGTCATATTTAAATCTTGTCTTGTCAAAATTTGTCTAGCTTATAGTTGACTCATATATAATCTTGTATAAACAGATTTATATCATTTTGTATGCCTATCGAGTACAAGTTACGCACAGATGTATAGTCATTCCTTAGTAAATAACCCATGTTCATGTTGATCCAATTGGTGCATTTTAGTCTACAAATTTAGTGAGAGTTTTGAATTTTTTTTTTTTGTTTATTTTTTGAAGTTGATGGTTGATGTGGAGAGGGGTATAAGTATAACAACTTGGGCATGTAGTGAAATTTACTCTCAAATTTTTATTCTTAGCACCCAAATTATTTTGGACAAGACTTTAAACCTAATTCAACACTTCCAAAAGGGTTGGTAGGCCTGACGTCGTGGGTGATGGAAGGGAGAGATGAAAGCAACACAAAACATTTTAAGAGGTATGAGGTTTAAGTAGTTGGTAGTCACACATCATGAAGTTGCTTTGCCGATAACATTAATATGTGGTGTATAATTTATTTTTTTTCAGATGCATTTGATCATGCACTAAGATACCCAAAACAATTAAATAAAAAAAAATAGGCAAAATTGTAGCCACATACCACTTCTATTTTATGAATCTTCACTGACACCCTCTGTCAGATTAAAAGTGTTACTTAGAATATAATTTTACTAAATTGTTCATGATATATTTGAGAAAAAATTTCATTCACACCTCCACTCGATAGACATATCTTCAATGAGATCCCTCTATTTTTCTAAATTTTTTTATGTATTAAAATTCAGATTGTTTAAAATTTATTTTTACATATTAAAATTCGAATCAATTAAAATTTATATTTTTTTATGTATTAAAATTTAAGTCGATTAAAATTTTATTCGAATTAGCTCGAATAAAATTTTAATCGATTCAAATTTTAATAAGTAAAAAATAAATTTTAACCAACTTGAATCGAATTTTAATTAGCACAAATTTTAATAAATAAAAAAATAAAAATTTTAATCAACTTGAAGTGAATTTTAATCGGTGCTAATAGCTCAGGTAAAGCTTAAATCCACTTGAATTTTAATACAAATTAAAATTTAATCAATTCAAATTGAATTTTAATCAGATTAAATTTTAATATGTAAAAAAATAAATTTTAATCGGTTCAAATTTTAATTAAATTTTATGCAAAAAGGTTGTTTGAGATTTATGTTAAGGCATTTTGTTGGTATTTTATAGGATTTGTTTTTAGTAGAAATGGTGGTTTAATTATAAGGGGTGTCAGTAATGTTTAAATATAAATTAGAATGAGTGTTAGTGATATTTTTGATAATAAAAAAGGTGTCTTTGAAAATATAGTAACCTAGAAGAGGTGTAATTAAAATTTTTCCTAAAAATATACCAAAGTAATTCAATAAAGTGAATTACCAAAGCCACTCGAGGACCCTTTTTTCCCCGAGCTGTCAACCACTCCGGTAGCACCTCAATAAACAAAAACAACCCAACACAATGCCTTTTAATAGTTTTTTTTTTTTTATATTGACCTTTTAATAGTTGAATAGCAAGAAGGCTTTTGAAAGTTGACATTGAGTACAACAAAACAAAAAAAAACAAACACACCCCAAAAGTAATTTTATTTATGCTCCGTTTAGTATAAAGGATGAAAAGTATGAATGATAGAAAGTAGGAGAAATACATTTTTTATCCTTTAAGGATGAAAAGTAGGAATGATACACTTTCATTTGTTTGTATTTGGTTGGATGGATGAAAAATAAAAGTGACTATTTTTTTTTCGTTGACTAAGATTAGAGGTGACATTCGAGTCGTATCGTATTAGATTCGTGTTGAGTTATTACGGGTTTGTGTCGAATATTAATCAAACATAACTTAACTCATTTAACTAATTGTATCGTGTCGAGTTGCGAGTTGACCTGTTTATTTTTGTATCGAATTCGAGTCGCGTCATCGTGTAGAGTCCAAAATTTTCATCTTAGTTAAGATGGAAAAAATATTATTTTTGAATTTAAAATTTTTATTTTTATTTTTTTATTTTTTTTAAATTTATTTTTAAAATTTAAAAAAATATATATATATATACCTATTTTACAATTGTATTTTTATATGAAATTAATATATACATAATATATGTATATATAAAAAAATATATAGACAAATAAGATACATCTCAACACAAATAATTAATTTTCTATCCAATTTCCTTCAAATTTTAAGAGATTGATTTTGGTGAGTTAGAAGAAAAGTTAATTCATTCACTTTTTCATCATTCCTACTTTCTTTCCTTACCAAACATGATGTTTTATTTTTTCATCCAATTTTTCATACTTCAAATTTTTCATCCTCCCAAACAAAGTATTAGGAAAAATGATACACAAACTCACAAGTACCACTTGTTTTTTGGGTTAATTGTAAGTTGTACCTTGAAAGATAGTTCAAATCTCATTTTACACCCTTAAAGATTAAAAATTGTAATTTGTACCCTAAAAGATAAAAATTTGTATCAATGTGCACCCTCAAAGATAAAAAATTTTAATTTATACCCTCAAAGATAAAAATTTGTATCAATGTGCACCCCCAAAAATAAAAAATCTCAATTTACATCCTCAAAGATAGAAATTTGTATCAATGTGCATCTAAAACTAAATAGATAAATTATACTTAGATCTCCTTATACTTGGTAATTTTATATCGATTGTGTTGAATGATTAGGTTATGTTGATTTTGTTAGGCTTAGCTTCTTATTTTTTAAAAATAATTGTATAGTTGCCCCTAACCTTTTTTGGCAGGCAATAACTTGTGACATGGTAATACACAATTACTCTTTCTAAAAATTGATTTTTCAACAAAATGGAAGATAACCCTAACGGCTTTATATAAAATGAAAAATGCCTTTTTGATCATGTACATTGAAAAGAAATTACTAACAAATTTAACACATAATTACTTGTGTAGACGATTTTTGAAATTTAAAAGAATATCTTACTCTACTTTAATTTAGGATTGAGTTAGGATTTTGGTGTTTTATATATTATTTTAATCTTAAATCAAATTACATTTCTTCAAGTTTGAACTTAATTTTCTTGTGGGTATCAGTTAGTGAATTTTTTTAATTATACTTTACCCAACTATGAACGGGTATTATGGCTCCGACATTGAATTATACACTCCAAAACGGTAACATGTTTTTATATCTTTGTCATGATAGTCAAAAATTTTGTTTCCAAAATATGTTTCGAGCTCTTTTCACTTAAGAGCAAATTAAGAATGTATTTTTATCACGGTAATAATTTTTAACATATTTTTTCTCTTGAAAATGCATTGTTTTTCTAGTTCCTAGATCTAAGAAATTATACATCCATTGCATTATTTACCAAAAAAACACATTATACAGGCCCAAAAAAGAGAAAAAGAATTTGTTGCATTCACATGTCACAAATAAGATGGAGGACGAGGGCAAAATTGGTAGACAACACACAATAGCCTTTCCTTGTTTTTTTGCTGATCTCACACTAGCCTTTCGGCGTGTAAATGATAAATCCTTTGTTGATGAGGTTCTTCAGAGCTGTCTATGGCCCACGTATGAAGAATTTTTTCCCTCAGTGGGCCAGCCCATACTTTTCTCAATTAATCCCAAATCTCTATCTCTTTTATGGGAAAAAATAGTTAAAAATCAAAAATCATGAGACAAATATGGTGCACTAACTAACATTGGCTTGTTGCATGCGAGTATTGACGAAGTTCATAATTTTTAATTGAATTTTATTTGTCGATATATATTTTTTTAATGATGGTTGGAAGCTGAATACCTACAAAAATTGATCAATTACTAATTAAACACTTTTAATCCGATAAATTCTAATGATTGTAGGTCATGTGTATAAGATAATTGATAAGTGACAAGAAAATCATACAAATTGGGACTTAATTAGCTATTATTTTTAGCATTAATAGTATTATTACACATAATAGTTATGGTAGATCAAAAACAAAAAACGTCATACAATGAATTATTTCTTGATTTTTTAAAAAAAATACTTTACAGTAGAATATCTGTAAAATTGCTTAAAATTCCTTGCTATGAATACCAAAAAAGATTGCATAGTAAGTTGACTAGTTGTATTTCTACAATGTATTCTCCTAACAGTTGTATAGGAATTTTAAGGGCCAAATTGAATTTATTTGTAAGGACATGAAAGCCCAATCAATGAAGAGGATATGAGTTTTTAATATCCCTTACGAAAAACTTATTCTTGTTTTTTAGGGGATATATTTTTAAATTAATTCTAATTATGGTGGTTAATTTAGAGTTCAAGAGAGTAATCGGTACAATTCTAAATATTTTTAAAAAAAATAAAAAGAAAAAAAGAAAGAAAAGAGGATAGGAGTTCATTAAAGAAAAAAGTTGGAGGTGCCCCCAAAAACAGGAATGAGAAAAAAGGAAAAGGTGGACGGTTAAAGGGGAAGGCAGCGATGACTTAAATATGGGAGAGAGAGAAAATAACTTTACCAAAATGTTGAATAAACCCCAAAATCTTTCATGGGTCTTATAGCACAAAGAA